TAAAGAAGAGGGGTAAAGGGTGATAGGGAGACAGTAATTAGTAACACACATAGTTAATAATTCATACAAAGAGGGTCAGGGGTTGGAAATCCATTGCAAGGAGCTCATGTACTTAGGAATGGATCATCTTTGGGCATGCACAGCAATAGAAGGTGCTGACATGCCTATAAACCAATCAGAACACTACATCTAGAGGAGACATGGAGGTTATGATCCTAGGGGGATCAGGTTTGGGTCATGCACGGCAATGTCCAATGCTGTCATGCCTCAAACAAACCATAGATACTAAACACCTTGAGGATAGAGATTTAGGATTCACAAGTCATAATAAGTAATGGACAGAAGCATTAACTCAAAACAGGAAGGGGCAGATTACAACATGTTTAATAATGGAACTTGGTTAAATACAAGCAAGAGACAAATAAGGATGGAAGAGACAGTAAAGAAACATGTTCTTGTTGGTGTAGAAGCTTAATTAGAACACACCAGTAAGATGCAAATGCGGAGAAAAATAAGCAAAATTCCCACAGCCTAGCCTTGGCTTTCAGCCGGCTAGATAAGATAGCAATACAAGTAGCAACAGAGAAAAGAGAGAGATTTTAGTGGAGTGTTTGTTTGAACTCAAGTGTTTTATGCCTTGTGTTCGTGTGTTTGAAAGAAGAGAGGTGGGTATTTATAGTTTTGAAAGCATGTAAGAAATAAGGCAATAAATGCACATATGGAAGTAATCAGCAATCAGAATCAATCAACCAAGTGATTCCCCTCTAATTGAGGAATCACTTTTTTAACGGGCCTAACAGGTTTAAAGAAGGAAAGAAAATCAGTTTGTAGGCTGACTGGTTATTACCATAAAAGAAAGTAGTAAAACATTAAGTACACAATAGAGTCCAAGTACAGAGATACACTTGTTTTGGGGAAAAGATTCAGCAAGGCAATAAGTAAGGAAAGGGATCAATCACTTTAACAGGCGAGTAAAATTAGAGTTAACAAAAAGAGAAGTTTTGAAATCAGTCCCAAAATTGAGAATCAATCAAAGAAGGTATCAGTTTGTAGGTTGACTGGTTATTACCATAAAAGGAAGTAGTAAAACATTGAGTACACAATAAAGTCCAAGTACAGAGATACACTTGTTTTGGGGAAAAGATTCAGCAAGGCAATAAGTAAGGAAAGGGATCAATCACTTTAACAGGCGAGTAAAATTAGAGTTAACAAAAAGAGAAGTTTTGATATCAGTCCCAAAATTGAGAATCAATCAAAGAAGGGGCCTCTGCATATAAATAGAGTGCACAAACGATGGACATACGAGGCCAAACTATTGGCAAAAGAAACAGTATGCAATAGTAGCACAAAGTTAGTAGACAGCAAATATTCAAAGCATGATAGTCACGTAGGTCAAGTTTCATTGAATCAGTAGTATAGAGAAAAGAAAAAAAAGGATAGAGTATCAGAAGTATGCAATGGGTCAAGTGCGAAAACCCTTCTGAAAAGCATAGTCGAGTTTCAAAGATAGTAAGAACCCAGAATCAAAGGAATCACATAAAGAAAAGAGATAAAGAACTTCAAATCAAGTCAGGTATTCCAACGAGAAATTTCAAACCCAAAGACATAGGTTTTTCCTTAATAACATTCAAGCTTAGAATATGATAAACAAATAAATCGCACAAGCAGTTTCAGAAACTCAAATAGACCCCAAAAGAAATTAGGGTTTTTATCACCCATCGAGTCTAGAGACGATAAAGAAGTAAATCAAACAAACACTTAACAAATAGTCTCAAAACTCCAAAAGAAATTAGGGTTTTTATCATGCTAAACTCAGAAAAGATTTTGAAAAGAAGAACTTGAAGAAAAACCCTAATCGGAAAAAGATGAAGAGTCTTTTTTCTAAAAGCAAAATTAAAGAAGTTTCGAGAAGGCATTTAAAAACTCATAGAGAGCATAGATCTAAAGTGAACCTGAAAGAAGTCAAGAAGCTCTTAGAGATTAGGGTTTCAGAAGAACCCCAAGTGACGAGAAAGGCCTTGAAAGCCATCGATCTAAACAGGAAAGTCAAGGGTCTGACTCGAATGGCCATGGCTGGCCGGAGAAAGGTCAGAGACGACTGGAGAACAGTCGTCGAGCAAAAATTGGACCAAGCCCCTTCAAAATCTGGTCATGAGACCACAGAAACGAATACGTAGAAGCCATAGGAGGCTGATACAGGTCTTAGATGATCCTGGAGAGCCATGGATTAGGGTAGATTAAGGTGGCGGCGGCTAGGGTTTGATGTTGTTGTAGAGATGATTTGAGAGAGGATGGGGATTTAGAGGCGGCGTATTGTGAGAAATGGATTAGGATGAAGGAGTCGTTTGGGTTAAAAAAAGGAAGAGAGTAATGGGAGTCGTTGATCTACACGATCAACGGCTGGGATTAGGTGGGAGTCCGGGTGGGTCATTTAAACGGGTAAAGGGTCGGATTTGAAGGGAATTGGGTCGGGGTAAAATTGGGTTCCTATTGGTGTTCAAATTAGGCTATAGTTGAAAGGTAATTGGGCTAGTTTTTAAATAGCCAATTTTCCCCATTTATTTTATAAAAATAGCAAATTAAATTCTGAAAATAAATTAAAACTACTAAATGATTTATAACATATAATTATCAAATTAAAAATATTGGACTTAATTTTTATAGATATAAACGCAATTAAATCTAAAAGAGGTTAATATTGCAATTATATGCAATTTAGCTTTAAAAATACTAAATAAATTTGTAAAAATGTACAAAAATTGTTTTAGCTATATTTTTGCATAAATATAAGAATCCAATAAATGAATTACTAAAATGATAATTTTGGAAATATTATTGGGTTTTTTATGAATAACAATAGGGGAATAAATTGGTTTAAAAATCTTTAAAAATTAAAATAATAATAATAAAATAATTCGACATACTTATATATTTTGAAAGTATTTTGCACATTAAAAAACATACAGGGAAAAATTGGATATCAACAGCCATAGCCGCTCATTCTATTGGTTTGCTTTATTTCATAATTAATTTATAACATTAATTCTTATATTTTTCAGTTTGTGCCAAGTGAAATCGCATATCCTTAAAACCTCTTATAAGTTTAATTGTTGTCCAATTTTAAGGGTAAACATGGTAAGGAGTTGTTGTCCCAACCAAAAATCTTGAGTTAATGCTCTTGTGACTTGTGACAATAGCAATAATGTAGGGAAAATGATAATGTAAAAGTGCTATCAAAATATTAGCCGAAAGAATATAGATACATATACATACATATATATATATATATATATATATATATATATATATAAATTATACTAATTTTATAGATTTTTTCAGATATCGACTGTAAATAGTTTTTGGCGCGGGCTAAAAGCACAAAAAACCCAATAATGTATCAAATGTCTATTATTCGTTTATTTTTTCTATCTATTCCATTTTATATACTCTACCATTTTCTCCCTTTTAATATGTTCTAGAGCAATTATACAGTTTTATTAAGGCCAGGAAAGAAGGAGAAAGCTCAAACTTGTCTTTGTCGAATTGATGTAGTCTCCAAGGTGTGTATTTAATTTTTCAGTTTAAATTTGCATTATCTGATTTTCAATTTCTATAAATAAAAAATAAAATAAAATTTCGTGTGTATACACCATATCTTAAAAATAATTTTAAAAAAACATTAAGTTGAGATAAATACTGAAATTTTAAAATTCCCACAACTCTTTCTATGCTGGAAGAATAGGATCGAGAGAGTGTCATGTTAAAATTGGACAAAATGATGGCTTGAAAAAGAAAATAAAAAGAGATTAGACAATACAATGATCACTTATCTTGATCACTTTGAAGAGTCACAAATATTAAGAAAACTCATTTGAAAATAATTAACAGATTATGATATTTTGACTACTGCAACAGTTCAATGATAACTAGTAGTCAGTAATTGGTTAATATATTGCTTTCCAATAATATTATTTTCATACAGAAAAAGAAGTCAAAGGTCAATCTTAACGAAGAATCACGCAATCATTAGAGACTAAAGTGAAGGTTTATGTTAGGTGAACATACCCAAACGTAGTTCAGCTACAATATTGTTTATTAATTATCCTGTAATCCTTTTCTAGTCAATAATATTATTTAATCATTTCCTGGTCAAATTTGAGTTAAATACATAAAACCAAGAAAAGAAAAGACACTCTTGTATTAGATAGAGTATTATTGTACAGTCAACTGTTATCTCATTAACAGAACATATGACTTGTGTTTTACCAGTTTAAACATTAAATAACAATACTTCTTTAATTGAAAACCGTTACACTTGGAATTTCCATTATAATACTTTTGATTTATAGTACGACAATCACCACCACAGATTGCAAAGATATGAATATGATCACTCTACTTTTAATAAGAGGTTTTATATTCACTAAAAATAAAAATAAAATAAAAACTTATAATGAAAAAGATTCAGTTTAATATGTCTTACACGGTTAAAATGAAACTAGTCTAAGCGCAAAGCAAATATTGTTAGAAAGAAAAATACAAAAAGGGGAATCTTAGTAAAGTTGTCTCGATATTATCTATAAATTAAGGGTTTGAATCGTGAAAATCAGCGATAATGTTTGCATTAGAATAGTATGTCTATATTACGCTTAAGAGTATGACTTTTCGCCTGATACTATATAAATACGGAATACTTTGGGTATTAGTTTTAGACTGCCTTATTCTGAAATTAATAATAACTGGCCAAATAAAAAAAAAGGAAAAAGAAAGAAAGAAGAAACTGAATGTTGGGAGATGACCAAAACCCACCAAATCCGTTATGGAAAGTATACTGTCTTAATGTGCTAAAGTAATCTGTTACACCTAAAAATAATCTAATCTTAATTGGTAAAATATTTAATAATCCACGTGTCCATATTTCATTGGTCACGCTGACGTAGACCAGCCTCCCTTCCCCACTTGCACTACAAAAACTCCGCCATTTTCAAAGCATTAAAAGCTCCTCAAGAAAAAACGTTAAACCCTTCAACAAATCCTCAGAAAAAAAAGAAAAAACTTCCGGTGATCGGACGGTAACGGAGATGGGTCAAAAAGGGGTTATATCACCGGCGAAGAAACTGTTTTCATGGGTTCGAAGACAATCGAAGAAAGTGAAAATCTTTTTGGGTTTAACCACAACGCTTACGTTATTGGTTACTCTCAAGTTGGTCGTCCATGATCACAACTACTTCTTTGTTATGGCTGAAGCTATTCATTTGATTGGGCTTTTGGTTTTGATTTACAAATTGACCACCCTCAAAACTTGCTCTGGTAATTTCAGTCGTAAAATCTTTAGTTTTTTGGTAATAAAAATTAATTCTTTTATTTTATTTGCATGTTGCTCCTTTTTCTCGATATATAAGCTATAAAATTGGAAACTTTCGTGTTACTCTGTTACTCATGTGGAAATTTTATTGATTTTTGCGTCGTTTCCCTTTGATTGAGTTGTTTCGTTATCTGACGAAGTAAAATTTGGACTCCGTGGGGAAATTTTCTTTTTTGATTATCTGCTTTTAGAAATAATTTTTTATCCACTTTTAAATAGATAGATATGCTTTTTCTCGGCATCTTTATAAGTTTAGATGAGTTAATTTTGATGGTAATCACGGTTTGTCTATGGCAGCTAAAAGAGTTCTCCTTTTTGTGCCCCTTTTTCTCCTTTTACACTTAACTTTACTGACATCTTTAATTTGGATAAATCAGGTTTTTCGTATATCTCTTTTAGCACCCCCACCCCCAACCCCCC